CTTAATGGCAAAAAACAAACTTTGCTTTCTCCACATAGAGCATGAAAGCTGCAATTTGTACATCTGTCAAAAAAATTATACAAATGCACCTCACAGGGTCCGTTTTAGTAAAATGTTTGAACAGCCATCATGCAACCTTTCATCCGAAAAGCAAAAGGCAAAAATGCCGCTCGTCAGATAAACCCAGGAAAAGCAGAGGTGCACATGAAGGGAGCGTCTGTGAAGCTGGCCGTCCATGCCCGGGAAGCTGGCCTTCCACGCCCGTGAAGCTGGCCTTCCACACCCGTGAAGCACTGCACAGTAGCACAGAAAATGCAGCATTTCATTCTGTTGTTAGATTTATCGGATTTATAATTTATTTACGACGTATTCTTTTACAAAACCATTAAAAATGTATGAGTTTTTTGGCACAAGGATAGTTTTTCTTTATTTCCCCTTAGAGGGACAGAGTGAAGGTAAACTGATGTTCATTCAACGTCACCACTGCTGGTGTATTTATTACCTGAAACTGAAAGCATATAAAAATAAAACTTCACAGCAACTGAAACAAGGTCAATATATGAAGCATGCACACATGAGCCAGATATAATAATTCCTGATCAAATTTATTTATTCCACTGCCATGTACCATTCAATACTAATCAACAGAGTCACAGAATAAGATGAGTAATGCATACAGCATTGGTATGAAGAGCTGAGGCCAATGGACAGAGCTCTCGGGGATGAGAATGTCCTCAGTAGTGGTCAATAAACTGTATACCTATTTCATCTTGTCTCATAGCATGATATCGGTCTATATTGTGATGTAGACATGAACTTCCAATTGCCTCAGAGACAATAATGACGCACAATAACCTTCCGTGAAAGATCACAGCACGTCCCCTCTGCAGAAGATCCCTTTGATAATCACTGTAGGGGCTCTTGGGCGAGTGACTAACCCCAACAGGAGCCTCTCGGTCTGATTAAGAGTTTGTGTTGCTCCTGTACCATCAAAGTGCGATGGACCGATACGTTTCTCATAGAGCATGTAGGAGAAAATATTGCTGATGAGATGTTTTAGGCTATAACAGCCAGGTTAGAAAAGTCTGTGCATTCAGAAACACTTCACACAAAATCACACGTAATAATTGCTATTGATTGTCAATGATTTCAGAAAAGATAATAAAAAAAAAACAACAAAAAAAGGTGTATCACTTTCACACGTTAAAATGTGCTTTCATCAAAATCGTTCACAGTGTCCATTTCTTTTTCTTTAGCAGACACTTTTGTCCAAAGCACTGCACAAGTGAGGAAAATAGCACATTACAAATATATGTGCTGTTGAGGAGTCATTTAGGCATAATTGCATTGAGCTTTCAATGAATGCCCAGGTACAAACATAAGCAGTATTGGAGCAAGAGCTACACAACAACTACCAACAAAGCGAGAACCTAATAAGATAATGCAATGAGAAGTGCAACGTTTGAACTTTGAAATTATGGACAGTGCATCCTTATGACACACTCCACCTATATGGCGGAGATCCTGTGACTCAGCTATACTGAACTATACTAATGCTCTGAAACCAAAGAAATGTGCACTATAATTTAATGTGACACAATATGGATGAGCCACACACATGTACATGCGCTCCAGCCTCACTCAAGCCACCTCAGCAGCCAGAAAGGCCTGGTCAATCTACATTAATCCTAATAATACTCAGTGGTGAGGAAGGAAATGAATGACGGCGAAGGGGGTATGAATTATTCAGCAGTAACAGGATTATGATGAAAGATCATCATCTGGGTCTTCGCTGTGGGTTCCACTGCCCTATATACATTTATATCACTTCCCGAAGGGACCTAGAGGTGGGGGCACAGCACTTCAGGTCCCATAAATGTTAAATTAAAAATTAATTAATGTTGAATAATTGGTACATAACCCCAAAGCCGAACAGCAGCCAGCCAGCTGCACTTCCAATTATCCAGCTTACGAGGGCTGGCGTGCTGTTACACTTTTCATGCAGTCTATTTTGCTGTACCATGCGATGTGTGCCTTTAGTCATGCGTGTCTATAGAATAAACTATTAAGATCAGATGCGTGGGAACGGCCGTGAAGAGGGCAGAGGGGTTTTGCTGTGTTACTGCGAGGTGGGGATTTTGATGCGGATCCATTGTCATTAAGGCATAATCATGCTGTATGCTGGTTTGCAGCTGCAGTAGTCTTGCATTGTTTGAAACATTTCTGTGCAACTGTTATCTAACTCCATTAGTTATCAGTATTTTTGAATTTTTATATATATATATATATATATATATATATATATATATGCAAATATATGGTCTATGCACAAATCGTTTACTTTCATGTTTTACTAAAAGTTGAGTGAGGTACCTGCACATTTTGTCGATGGTACTGCTAAATCGCTCCTATAATTAATGCAGCGCTATGACAGAGAAGTCTTTGCCAGAAATGTTGCTGGAATAAACACAATTTATATTTTTTTAACCCAAACTTTCCAGTTGAATGAAGAGCAGAAATGCAGTCATGATGATGACCTTCTTGCTTGCGGCACGATGCTCCCTCAGCAGACATCATCTCCTTCTCCACCAGACCCCCATGCTCAGGTCTGGCTCCCAGCTGTTTGTCCCAGGGAGAGACTGGCTCCCAGCTGTTTGTCCTCAGTCCAGGGGCCTGCAAACTGCTCTTAGCCTGAGAGCTGACGTAGGATTGTGTAAGTTCCCTTGACAAACAGGCTCCATATCAACCATATGAAAGTGAATCTGTTATTTCTTAAGTGATTATTGATAATGGATGCACCTCTTTACATTTTATCAGCTATTCTGATATGAATTTATTAAAATGTAAATGAAGTATAGACTCATCAGATTACATACTGAACTAAAATGAAGTCTCCTCCGTTGTTATGTCACTCTTCATATCTTTCCTTTTCCCCGTTTCATGCACCATTATTCTGTATAAAAGATGTAATAATGAATTCCCTCACACCCTTGTCGAGTGCCTTGGGGGCACTCTGTTGTGAAAGGCGCTATATAAAAATAAACCAAATTAAAATGAATTAAATTAATTGAGTAAAATACCTTATGAAGGTTGAAACATTCCTCAGACTGAAGAGGCACATTAACAATTCCGCAGACCTAGGTGGAATTGGCGGGCAGAAAAAATATTTGCGGACAGGACACGGGAGCCCAAGGAACACGATTTGGACTTACAGTCCTCTTCGTTCATATGTCTGAAAGTCCATAAGTTTGTAAGTAGAGGAGCGTCTGTACATAAGTTTGCCTTGTAAAGTAATTTTGCCTGCAGATGCTTAGGGAAGAATAAGTCTGAATCTGCCATCAGAACAGAAAGAACAGGGAACAAACATCCCAGGGTGAAATTTAAGAAGTTTAGAAACTCGCACCCACACAGAGAAGCACCCACACGATGAAGATACCACAAGGAAGGTTGAGTCAATGGAGGGATAATGAGGCGCACAGTAAACCGTCTCTCACAGCCGACTAAATCCTGATCAAACAGCCGACCTGACAAGAGGCCTCCTCTATTTTCTGAGCAGCAGCCTCAACTTTTCAATCGACTGAGTTTGCGGTCGATGCAGCAGGACAACACCGGCCGCTTCTCCTGCAATACCTACACCCACAGAGCATACAGCGAGTCTACACACCGCCGCTACTAATTACAAACATGGCAACTGTGGTGGAGCTAGACAAGGCAATGACATGCGTACAGTCAGATCCAGATCTTTGTACTCGACAGGTACTGTGAAGAAATATCATGAACGTCTACAGAGAGCCTTCAGGCTCCGTGATGCCAGGTTTCGAGATGCGCTTCCAAAAAGTGACGTGCATGGAAACCAGCGGGGGGCCTGAAAACTGTTTCGCACGGAACCTCCAGACAACACAGACCGGGGATTCTCACAGCTAAACGCAAAGCTAATCATGCACAGCTTTGGTGGGATCTCTGGATGCTGCCTTCACCACCAAGCAACGGTCAGCCCACTGACTGTCAGAAGCACAGATGAAAAACAGCAGCAGCCTCCCTCCCGCGGCCGGGACACATCTGCCAAAAACCGGGCTTAGTGTAGCGAGCGCGGAGCAGCCTGGTGACTCCTTCGCAGTAATTAAACATTAAGAGTAATTAACAGTAAAAGCTGCTTCAGCTGTGAATTTAGCGAGTTCAGCCATTCCACGTGAAATGAAAGCCCCAGCAGACAGGCATGTTAAAAATAACTCGACACAACTCGTGTAATTAGGCAACGTCAATAAAAGTAGTAATAATCCCACAAACAGCCCTCCCAAAGGCACTTTTGGTGGGGAAACAGTGATGAAATGTATTAAAAGTAAGTGGGCAGCTGGCTCTAAGGGGGGGGGGGATGAGGAGAGAGAACATTTAGTGCCTCTTATAAGGACAAAATATAAAATTACAACAATAACAGGCGGCACAAAGATGTGGGGGGTCCGACTCCTAACGACAGCCAGGACAAGAAGGACCACCCCTAGGGGTTTGTGTAAAGACGTGAATCAGCTTGTTACTGGTATGATCTACTAATATCACCATAGAAAATCCAGCAAATGGGGTCACGTTTTCCATAAAACGATACCTGATTCCATGGACTGGCCTAGCTGTTCATCCCTGGCTTGCGTCCCTTGTGGCCATGACACTGTCCTGGGTATCCCCATGATGCTGCACTGCTCTGGTATATGTCAGTTCACACGTTACAATTTCTGGTTAATTGATCACCTAACTCAATAAAAAAAAAAGAAAATTCTGTACTCAAAAATACGTCTTAACAAAGCTTGTACTGATTTAACATCAGGGTTCAGCATCTACAGTGTATGTCTTATGATTTGTCTCATTCTGATATCAAGAAGTAAGCTGTCTGGTGACTGTTTTTGTTGGAAATGATCTAAATTTTAACTTAAGATGATACAGGAGCCTGGAAAACGACATTGCAATACACAAGATGAGATCAGATATACTTTACTAAACATCTCCCCATCAACACAAACCAGCCATCAAGTGTACCAGCCTTTACCGCAGTCACATTCTCAAATTGGTAAAATACAACCAGAGAAACAAATTTGGAACATCCTGGAAGATGAAAAGCAAGGAAATGGAAAGGAAAGCAATTGCAAAATAATCTAACTGCAGACAAAAACTTGATAAGAAACATAGCAATTAAATCCGAGAAAGGAAACAAGAAATAAGGGGAGGGGGGCAGGGGGCATAAACAGGCTGGATTCATTTCACACTGTTTCCATGACAGCAAATAAATTCATCGCAGCATGGAAAGAGGTGACCAAATTGAAGGAAAACAATAATGAATAAACAGCCCTGAAAGAGATTAATATTCAAGGGCACAGTTTTCTGTGAAAGCAGATGGTGGCATTTTCAGGAATTGTTTCATCACACAGGCTCATCTAGGTTCACAGGGGTCATGCACAGCAGGCTTTACAGCAGACAGGACACTTCCTTGTTCCCAGAGGGCCGTCTTCATCATCTGCTCCTTGCCGCACATCCTTTAGTTCAGCTTGTTGGTACAACATGGAGTCAAGTGTTTAATGACATTAACTTTGTTATCACCTAATAAGGGCCACACATCATTTCCTCCAAGACGTCTCTGTCTCTGACATGTCTCTATCCCCCAAGAAGTTCACATGTGGAGTGGAGCAAGGTTCAGACGTAATGATGGACACCTACCCTGGTAATCGTGTGACCTTGGCAGAGTTAATATTCACCTTCCCGTAACCCAGAAGGGCCAAAATATTCTAGAATGAACACATCTAATACACATAAGATATCTGAAATCCTTAGCAGTACTCATTGGCAGACTTCAATACAATGAAATACGGAAACAAACTGATCTGGTGACCGGACAGAGAGAGGAAGAGAATGTGCATTCATGAAGCACCAGGTTGATGTCGGGCTGATCCGAGGGCTGCTTTCTTCACAAAGGCGTTCTGGGCCGCGTGCTCAAGCAGAATGACCTTTGGGTGTCTTCAGCTTCCCCTGACTGATAAACGATCACAGCCACTTTTCCCCTTTCCACTCTACCTGGACTATACAGTATCCGCAACTTCTCCTATAACAAACAGCATGAATAATGAGGATTATTCATCACACTAACTCATCAGTTGGTAAATACAGCACACAATCAAGTAAGTACATTAAATACCATAAAAAGTACGATGGTCAAATGGAAAAAGTATTTTGACAACCATTTCACCAATTTATGCATAATTGTTTTCAATTAAATGGCTGAGATGATAGTTACAGTTTGCTTAATAGGTCTATGTGTTACGATGCCTGACAATTCAGCACAGCACTTGCTTCCAGTTGGGTTGGTGATCTGTTGGTTGAATTATCACTAATTGGTCATCATCAAAGTCACCCCATCAAAGACGACGACATCATCAGTTGTGCACCCCGGCCTCACTGGGCATTCTGGCACACTTGTCATACTGGGTACTTGGAATAATCCATGTAAATAAATGCACATGATGGCAGATACAGAGTATTGATTCTACAGTAAATCCCGTAGTACTGAATAGTGGTGGTTTCTGATAATTTATTGTTTAAACATGATGGTGAATGTAAATTACGCAGCATGCAAAGAAAAATAACTTCATACAAGAGTGATGGGCCCCATATGGGAAGTGACATACTGCATGTGCCCACAGTCAGTGGGTGGGTGTTAACTCATCCTGATGGGGGGGGGCTTCTTTATGATTCTGATTCTGGTTGAGGTCACAGGGTCACTATGAGCCCAGTGATATTTATCACACCTGTTTCAGCCAGATAATATACACAAAGCACATGTGAGCAGGGTTTGTGTCCGGCCTTTGAGAAGCCTAAATCGGTTAGGGATCAAAAAAACGCCCAGAACTTTAGACATGAAGCAGATGAAGTAATGCAGTAAAAGCAGAAACATGTGTTAAGGATATGAGAGATGTAACTCACACATGGATTCCTCTCCGAGTGCTGTATTCCATATAGAGCATATCTTGGAGAATCAGATGCTGGAGCCTGGGATCTGAGATTACAGACAAACCCGTCAAAGCTGCTTCAGATCCGTAAAGACCAGACCTCGGAGATCAAATGTAGTGACAAATGCAATAACTGCTCCATTTACCCAGAGTCTCACCAGTTCCACACATACACTCCTGGAATAGTAAGCTCAGTCCTTCCATCAATCAGTATTTTTGATGTGAAATTCCTCTTGCAGAAGGATTATTGAATCTTCAGTTAGACCTAGTCAGAGATCTTGAAGATAACTCTTTTGTTTGATCTATCTAAAGACTGGTGTTCAGGATATATTCTCGAAGCTGGGGATGAGCAGAAACACAAGAGTAGCAGTTGTATTTTGGCTCCAGCTTCCTAACCCCTAATCCATCGCATTGTCCTGGAACAAACATCGTTTCTCAGAGAGATCACCAACAGATCTGGTCCTTTGTGCTGTTTGCCTAACAATAAATGTACTACAAATGCACAAGCTGCACTGTGCTAGAGCAGACAGGCAGGAAGGAAAAGGCGAGCAAAGAAGGAACACTGCTGTTTTGTAGACAGAAGATCTATTCTGCTCCACATAGTACAGTATATGTAGATACTGGAAGAGGAGCAGGGTCACAGATAAGCCATTACAGTTAACACATTACACTGTGGAGAGGAAGACTTTTTGCCAAAGAATGCCTCTACTAACAATTTCACTTAAGATTACTAAACTAAAAGGCTATGCTATTAGCTCCCAATTCTCACTGGCTGTAAAACAGCAGCACCTTGACCAGTTTAATATATTGACAGCTCTTTTCTGCTGTGAGGAACTATAAAAGGAATCAACTTAAAGTCTGATCTCATCCATCAGAGAGCACCAGTACAGCTCCAAACTCTCCCCCAGAGCAGATTCCATTTTACCTCATTTGTGCATGCCTTCCTTACCCCACCTCACCTGAAATACTAATTGCATGTTTAGTTCCTTTCAGGATGAATATGATTGCGGAAATGCACTTTTTTTTTTCTTCCCAGAGAGGATTAACCTACCTGTCAGTTTGCTGAATGTTATGCAGAAATGCTCAGAGATGAAAACCATCCATTTACTAGACATCGTTTGGACACTTTTAATTAAAATTCTGCAGCCTTCTCCACTGCGGAAATTAAAATGATAGAAAAGTAAAACCTGCTCTGTAAACTGAAGTTACAATCTGGCTTTAAAATAAAGCTGATCCTGCGGCAACACAGTAGCACCCTGGACAGCCCCCACGCTGACCCCCTTTATACCGTGTAGATTAAACTGTTATATTAGACTTATGGGCAAAATGTGTTCGCTGGAGAACAGGATAAATGTAAAATGACACATTCCAGTCAAAAGCAGCCACTTAGAGAGGCAGAGACACCGTAAAGATACGTTTTAAAACGGAGGACCACTCTGTGAGCCATAAACATGTGTTCTTATAGCCTGCAAACGTTAAGATGTCAGCAAATTCCAAAATGAAGGTAATATTTTCAGAAGGAACAGCCCCGGAATGCTATGCTCTAAAATATAGCTGTGATACTTTCTTTCTTTTTTTTTTTTTTTAACCCCACCACTAAATTCATTCTTGCATTAGAGGGCATTCATCATTTTTAAGATTGATGTGACTCAGTCTGAAATGGACCCTTTCAGTTACCATCCCTGTTCATTTAGTGCAATAAATATGACATAAAAATTTGTGGCTATTTGAAGGAAGAATATTTAATATTGATAAAATATCACCATGTTCTGTAAAGCTGATTTACTAGATCATACATATATTTTAAAATATAAATGAAGTCGCTGCAGAAAACATTTGGTTCAAAGATACTGTGGTAGCTCTGCTATAACAACTTTTACACTGCACACTGTCAGTAAACATGTATAATATTCATTAATAACTGTATTTTTATTGTGCAATCACTGGACCTCCAAGGTCCCTGCATGGTCATCAGGTCACTGTTAACCAGGGAACAGGTGAACTTCATGCCCACTTCTGACATTTTGGACAGATGAGATATGAAAAGCAATCAAAAACCAAAGAATGTGTTTTCCCGAAATAACAGAGTGCTAGACAAAGGTCAGGGCTATAATGGTGAATCGTCACGTCTTCAAAATCACTCACAATTCGTCTTGAAAGAAAGCAGGCTGAGATGTACGAGGCTGATAAGGGGCCGTTCTCAGCCCCCTTTGTCTGTAGCCTTTCACAGCTGGATTTAAGCTTCGAATTCTAGCAGTGAAATGAAATCTTGAAGAGAATGGTCCTGTTGCAGTGTTTTCACGAGGGCCAGGCAGACGACACGTTCACTTTCAGATATGAGCATTTACATTACGGTGCTTTCATCTCGCTTGTTTTAAAGTCGGACAGCCAGCAGGGCTTCAGAGGCAGGGATCTGGAGAGACCCGGAGCCGAGGTCCGGCTCAGCACTTTTCTCCCGAATCGATCCATCGCGCCCTGCAACCTGCCCTGTAGATTGCCCTGCGGCATGCTCAGCAGAGAGCCATGCGGCGTGCCCTGTAGAT